TCCAAAGTTTATCCGGGGAGTAAAACTAAAAGTGGGAGGTGGAAGGACGATTTGTTTCCAGCAAGATGCTTGGTGCAGTGACCTGGACGGGAGGATTATCCCTCCTTGTTGCTGATAGTAGAAACAGAGATTTTAAGATAGCTGAGCTGTGTGACTGGGTTGGACGTGTTGGAAGTTGGAGTATAACTTTTAGGCGTCAGTTAAATGATTTCAGATCTGTTGAGTTCGTTGCAACTGCTTGAAAATCACAAACCAACCCAAGACCTTCAAGATGAAAGAAGGTGGAGATGGAGCAAAGATGGCAAACTTTTTGTGAAATCCTTCTACCTGAATAAAGAGCCCCCTCTCCCTCAGGATTTCCTTGGAGGGACATTTGACTTCTATAGTCCCAACCAAGATAAGCTTCTTGACGTGGTTAGCTGTGAAGGGCAAATGTCTTTTGAAAGAACAGTTAGACGGGAGAAGCTTGGTGCTGGATTCTATGGACTGCGGTTTGTCTGGCTAGGAGGACAGTCAATCAACCATCTGTTTGTGCACTGTAAAGTAGTTGTGGCTCCTTATATAACCATTTTCATAGGAGGTTGAACCTGTGTTGGTGTCAGCCTAGAAGCCTTTTTAATCTTGTGAAATCCTGGAAGATTCTGGGTTTAAATAAGAAGGGGAAGTTGCTTTGGAGCACAATACTGTCAGCAATAGGCTGGGTACTGTGGAAGGAGAGGAACAGGAGAACTTTTGAAGGGAGGAGCGGAGGATTGGATGAGTTGTGTCAGCAGGCAAGGGCTTCTTTGCATTCATGGATAGCAGTCAAAGAGTAGTTCAACAAGATCTGATCAGTGTTTTGACTATTTTACATTATTTGGATAATCCCATACATAGCACAAAACTTGGGCTGACATTGCTTTTGGTTTGGGTGAAAATTTTGAATACACTCAGATCTGATGTCTAGTTTCTGGCTATAAATTTGCACATATGCAGTACAGTTGTAATATGAATTTTAAAGAACACTTTATATGACTTTACTTTACCTTCTCTAAAAAATAATTAAAAATTATAAAATCATTTTTTAGGGTTGAGAATTTTAAGATCCTGACACAGACTTGTTTGGGGTTGTCTCAAAGGGCTTGGGGGCTTGTTACAAAGGCGACTTGTAGAGTTAGGAATGAAAGATGTAATTCACATCAACTATTTGAAATAATACAATTGGGAAAGAAATAAAGAAATTAAAAATTTGACATGCTTGAATATGTTTTGAATGCTATTTTTTAATTTATTTTTGCATTTTCACTTTGAATATGTTTTATATGTTATGCTTATGTATTTTATTTAAATTTGTGCTAATAGGA